GCGGAAACCCAAAACGTAGCTGCGTTTTCCCCTTTTAAATCACAGCAGTGATTTTAATTTTCATCTCCAGCTCTCATTGTTACTTCTGTGTGGCTCCCGAGGACGTAGGCAGTTGCCGAACCTCGTAAATCTTGTGTACTGTTCTCTATTCTGCGTTTCTGTTACATTAGGGGTTTAGGTGTTAAATTCCCAACAACTGGTATCAGAGCGTGAAACGATCTAGAGAAAGTCAGATTCAAGTGGGAGCCATGGCCGCAGATGAGACAAAAATGAGACTTGAGAAATTTGATGGAACAGATTTCGGATTCTGGAAAATGCAGATAGAGAATTATCTGTATCAAAAAAATCTGTATCAACCACTATCGGGGAAGAAGTCGGATTCTATGAAGGCAGATGAGTGGAACCTTCTAGATAGACAAGCCCTCGGAGTTAACAGATTGACGTTGACTCGCAATGTTGCGTTCAACATAGCGAAGGAGAAGACCACGGCGGGTCTTATGGCAGCTCTCTCAAATATGTATGACAAGCCATCATCCGCAAATAAAGTTTATTTAATGCGGCGGTTATTCAATCTGAAAATGGCGGAAAGCGCGTCAGTAGCACAACACCTCAATGAACTTAATACGGTTACAACCCAATTGAGTTCAGTTGAGATTGAGTTTGATGATGAAGTTCGGGCGTTGATACTTTTATCTTCCCTACCTGGAATGCTACAGTCACAGCTGTGAGTAGCTCGTCGGGAAAGAAAAAGTTGAAGTTCGGCGACGTTCGTGATTTGGTTCTCAGTGAGGAGATCCGACGGCGAGAGACTGGTGAAGCTACAACCTCTTCAGTATTGCATACAGAGTCAAGAGGTAGAAATTCAACCAGAGGAAACGGACGAGGAAAAAAAAACTTCAGAGGTAGATCAAAGGACAGGAGGTCCAAGTCAAGGAATCCAAGCAACAGCTCGAAGGCTATCGAGTGTTGAAATTATGGAAAGACCGGGCATTATAAGAATCAGTGCAAGAGTGCACAGAAGGAGAAGGAGGCGAAGGCAGAGGTGAATGTCACCTCCACTTCAGGAGGAGACGACGCATTGATATGCTCTTTGGAGAGCAAGGAGGAATCTTGGGTGTTAGATTCAGGAGCGTCGTTCCATGCTACCTCTCAAAAAGAATTCTTCGAGAAGTATACCCCCGGAAATCTTGGATACGTATATCTTGGTGATGATCAACCATGTGCTATTGTGGGCAAAGGCGTGGTGAAAATTAAGTTGAACGGGTCAGTATGGGAGCTGAAGGATGTCAGGCATATTCTCGACCTGAGAAAGAACTTAATATCCGTAGGCCAGTTGGCTGGCGAAGGATACACCACGACCTTCCATGGAGATGATTGGAAGATCTCAAAGGGCGCAATGACGATTGCCCGAGGCAGGAAGGCTGGTACCCTGTATATGACAGTATGTGCACGTTGTTCGATCTTAGTTGCAGCAGGCAATGAGACTTCAAAGCTGTGGCACCAGAGACTCGGTCATATGAGTAAGAAGGGGATGAAAATCATGCACACAAAGGGAAAACTCCCAGGACTGCAGTCAGTGGAGATTGATATGTGTAAAGAATGTATACTTGGAAAGCAGAAGAGAGTCAACTTTCAGACAAGTGGCAGAACCCCGAGGAAAGAGAAGCTAGAGCTTGTTCACTCAGATGTTTGGGGACCAACCACCACCGCTTCCATTGGTGGGAAACACTACTTCGTGACTTTTATCGATGATCACTCTCGGAAAGTGTGAGTTTACTTTCTGAAGCATAAGTCATAAGTATTTGAGGCTTTTAGGAGATAAAAAGCTATGGTCGAGAATGAGACCGGTCTGAGAATAAAGAAGCTCAGGACTGATAATGGCGGTGAATATGAAGACACCGGATTCAAGAAGTTCTGTTATGAGCACGGGATCAGAATGGAGAGAACCGCGCCCGGCACGCCTCAGCAAAATGGTGTAGCTGAGCGGATGAACCGAACGTTGACAGAGAGAGCCAGAAGCATTCGAGTACAGTCAGGCCTACCGAAGCAGTTCTTGGCAGAAGCAGTCAACACAGCAGCTTACTTGATCAACCGAGGTCCATCGGTTCCATTAGAGCACAGAATACCAGAGGAGGTATGGTGCGGAAAGGAGGTAAAACTCTCACATCTTAAAGTTTTTGGTTGTGTAGCTTACGTGCACATTAGTGATCAAGGCAGGAATAAACTTGATCCCAAGTCAAAGAAATGCACTTTCATCGGCTATGGTGAAGATGAGTTCGGCTACCGTATTTGGGACAACGAAAACAAGAAAGTGATCAGGAGCAGATATGTAATATTCAACGAGAAGGTGATGTACAAGGACATGCACAAGACTGACGACTCAGAGAGAGATTCCACATTTATAGATGCAGATGATGTCCCGAGTAACCTCTCGGAAGAACCCAATGCAGAGGGTCCTCAGCCAGAAGAGCCTGTTGGACAAGATGGTGCGCAGGAGCCCGACGCACCAGCTCCGATATTAAGAAGATCTTCTCGTCCTCCTGTACCCAACAGGAGATACATGAACTATCTGTTGTTGACAGATGGTGGGGAGCCTGAAAGTTTTGATGAAGCTTGTCAGTGTGGAGATGCGAGCAAGTGGGAGCTTGCCATGAAAGATGAGATGAAGTCCCTCATCTCAAACCAGACGTGGGAACTAGCTGAGTTGCCCACGGGTAAGAAGGCACTCCACAACAAATGGGTATACCGGGTGAAAGAGGAGAATGATGGTTCTAGGAGATATAAAGCCCGATTGGTTGTCAAAGGTTTCCAGCAGAAGGAAGGAATTGACTACACCGATATTTTCGCTCCCATGGTGAAGCTAAATACTATCAGGACCGTGATGAGTATTGTAGTAATTGAAGATCTTCATCTCGAGCAGTTAGACGTGAAGACGGCATTTCTTCACGGAGATCTAGAATAGGAGATATACATGCACCAGCCAGAAGGTTTCTCAGAAGAAAAGAAGAAGAACCTGGTGTGCAGACTCAAGAAGAGCTTGTATGGCCTGAAACAAGCCCCAAGACAGTGGTACAAGAAGTTTGACGGTTTTATGCACAAGGAAGGTTTCCAGAAGTGCAACGCCGACCACTGTTGCTACTTCAAAAGATATCAGTCCAGCTATATCATCCTACTGCTGTATGTTGATGATATGTTGGTTGCAGGAGCAGATATGGAGGATATCAAGAGTTTGAAGCAGCAGCTGTCAAAGGAGTTTGACATGAAGGACTTGGGTCCAGCGAAGAAGATCCTTGGAATGCAAATCACGAGAGATAAGAAGAGAGGTCTCTTGTAGTTATCTCAGACGGAGTACATCAACCGTGTTTTGTAGAGATTCAACATGGGCGACGCCAAGCCTGTGAGCCCACCCTTGGCCAGCCACTTTCGTCTATCGAAGGATCAGTCTCCTCAGTCAGAAGAAGAGAAAGAGAGTATGGCTCAGGTTCCTTACGCCTCAGCTATCGGAAGTTTGATGTACACAATGGTCTGTACGAGACCAGACATTAGCCATGCAGTGGGAGTGGTCAGCCTGTTTATGTCGAATCCGGGAAAAGCTCATTGGGAAGCGGTCAAGTGGATTCTGAGATATCTACGAGGCACCACACAGAAGTGTTTGCACTTTGGTAAGGGAGAGGTAGAAGTGCAAGTGTACGTAGATGCAGACTTCGGCGGTGAAGTCGATCACCGAAGAAGCACCACCGGCTATGTATTCACCGTCGGAACTACAGCTGTTAGTTGGATGTCACAGGTACAGAAGATCGTTACCCTATCCACTACAGAAGCTGAGTACGTTGCAGTGACTGAAGCCAGTAAAGAGATGATATGGCTTCAGGGTTTGTTGACAGAGCTGGGATTCAAACAGGAGAAGAATGTTTTGCACAGTGATAGTCAGAGTGCGATACACTTGGCGAAGAATTCAGCATTTCATTCTAGAACGAAGCATATTGCGCTTCGGTACCACTTCATCAGATCCCTGTTGGAAGATGACGTGTTGAAACTGGAAAAGATTCCAGGAAGTAAGAATCCAGCAGACATATTAACAAAGACGGTGACAGTTCAGAAACTGGAGTTGTGCGCAACTTCAGTTGGCCTTCATGCATAAATGATGAGGGCGGAGCCACACAGGAGAGGAGCTTGATGGGATAGCATGTTGACGTCGGTTTGGTCTCCAAGTGGGAGATTGTTAGATTTGGGGGTGGAAACCAACCTCCGCCGGCGGGGAGCTCCGACGAGCTCGAGGATGGCGCAGGCGAAGCTGGAGGGATAGTCCCAGGCGAGCTCGAGATCCGCTGCGAACGCCCACCTGACCCTCGCGTCCAGCAGCTCGACGACCCTCGCGTTCAGAAGCTCGACGACCATCGCGTCCAAGCTCGACGACCCTGGAAACCCAAAACGTAGCTGCGTTTTCCCCTTTTAAATCACAGCAGTGATTTTAATTTTCATCTCCAGCTCTCATTGTTACTTTGAGGGGAGATTAAGAAAATGATTAAGGAGAGAGAGTATAAAAGATGGGTTTTATATTGTGGGGTTTTATTTATTCTCAAGAGAGAATTGAAAGGGTTTATTCCCTTTAATTATTAACACTGTAGCTACAGTGTTCATTTGAGAAATCTCAGTTTAGGAATTTGCTCTTGAATTGTAATTTCTTGTTAGATTAATAAGAAATTAATTGTGTGGCTCCCGAGGACGTAGGCAGTTGCCGAACCTCGTAAATCTTGTGTACTGTTCTCTATTCTGCGTTTCTGTTACATTAGGGGTTTAGGTGTTAAATTCCCAACATTAACATTTTCAAAGTTATTGCGGACAAAGTGAGAACAACGCCAAATTTGCTGCGCGCGGTTTTGTAAAATTTGCCCTAAAGTGAGAGTTAAGATATGCAAAATGTTTTCTCTTCTGCGCGGATATCTTGCGTGAAGAGATACAAACTCTCAAAGAAGTCGCAAATCATATTAACCCAGAAATTAAGCCTAACTAAGGGGGTCCTCCACTCACGCATGAAATTCCCAACAAAAACAACCTCAGTTATACTTCAAAGATATGAAGGAAACTAATTAGTACGCACATGGATACATGACACATATTTGAATTGCACAAGGATTACTGCGAAGTTTCATATATGCTTCATTCTTCCTGTGTAAGTTTCATGCTTCATTCTTCCTGTGTAGTTTGACTCGCATCACATTCTCCTTTCCTTTGCCTTGAGACACCAACTCAAAGATGCACCTATCTCCTGCCTCAAGCTTGTTACCACGAGCAAACTTCAACCAACCTTTTCCCATGGAGCACTGTTCTGTCTTCGCCAGCCTCCCCCTTCTAACGCCAAGCCTAACGGTCCAAAACCGGTCCTTGGGATCTCTAAGGCTCACCTCCCCTTGCTCCCACAGTCCACTCAGCTCCTTGAATCGCCTTGGAATGGTCTGCCACGGTTCCTCGTGGTTAATAACACATAACAAAGAGAATAATTAATGGGTATCCTATGACACAGGGCTAATCACAGATAGATCCTTCGTACTATCACATAATTGCATATGGACCCCCTTAATTTTATTGTTGCAGACAGGCCTGACGAGTGAAATTTTTTTGGCTCGCTTACACTCAATAGGAAGAGATGTTACTTCTTTACAAATAAATCTCTGGAGAGTAAACAAGTCAAATAAATTTCAGTCTGGGGTCTATTCAGAAGTTGGGGCTGTTTGGTTCGCCCAAAATTTGTGGAAAATGATTGAGAAAAAGAAAATGGAGAAAAAGTACAACTTGTTGCAAGTTTTTCCATAACATTTTCCTTTTCATTGTTTGGTTCGCACCTTGAAATCAAGAAAAATAATGATGTGAGCCACATTTTAGGACACCCATTTCATGATTTTTGTTGATGAAATTGGAGGAAAACTTGTTTGATGTTTTCCTCATCTCTTACTTTTTCTTTGTATTTTCAGGAAACAACCAAACATGCTAAAGACAATTTCATCATGTTTCCCTCTTTTATGAACTCCTTGTTTCATTTCCTAAATATCTATGAAATTAATGGAATCTTGTGCAAGAAACTATCTATTGCTTTCCATCTATTTATTGAAAATGCTAATTCATTGTTTGTTTCGGATTGAAATTGATGGTGGGAAAAGGAGAGAGTGTGTCGAAAACGTAATCCCTTGTTTGTTCCAAACCCAAAGAATAAGAAATGTGAGAGTACTGTGTGAAAGAGCTGATGTGGTCCAACAATTAATAGGGTTGCGTTAGGTTTCTGGCCAATTCCTTTCAAAAGACTAGGAATTGGCTTTTCTTAGAATTGGGTGCTTTCTCTATTTTATAGAAAGAATCTCTTTTTTTTTCCTTCTTCTTGAAACAAACAGTATTATAGGAATCCAACAATTCTCTACAAGTTAATTTTTGTGTCATTTCCTAGCTTTCCATGCAGCGTCCATTTATTTTGGGGGAACGAAATCACCCCAGAAAATTAAGGGGAAAAGGTAATTCTTCATCACATGCACGTTACATCTCTTGATGACATTATTTCTCCCATTAAGTGCACGTTACACCCTTGATGGCATCATTTCTCCCATTAATTAAGTTGAAATATGACGTGCGCCTGATGACAAATTAATTAATTTTCCCCCTTAGCTTGAAGTGGCACTAGTACAAAAACGACCAATTTAGACAAAACAATCTAGACGGAAAAATTTTCCATCTAGGTTGACTCAAACTAGACAGAAATTTTTCATCTAGGTTGATCCGTCTAGTTTGGGTCAAACTAGACGGAAAATTCCGTCTAGTTTGTTAAACGAGACGGAAAACTCAACCTAGACGGAATTCCATCTAGGTTGCTTGTCAACCTAGACAGAATTCCGTCTAGGTCGCC